CAGGATTTTGAAATTAAAGCGAAAAACCACTGGAAGCCAATGGAGAGCTTTTAAAATTGGGGTAATGTGAGCCCTTCTGTTGGTGCGAGTCCGCACCCTAGCCGCCGCGTTTTGGACCTGCTGCAGACGAGACAGCTCCTTTTTGTTAAGACAGGAAAAAAGGCTGTTACAATAGTCTAAACGAGAGGACACAAAAGCATGAATGATCAGCTCCAGATCATCTTTGGAAACAAATCTTCTTAGTTTCGAAATATTCCTGAGCTGGAACCCCTCAAGTCATTTAAGGTGACCTATGGCTTAGAAAAATACAGCGGCTTCCCCCAAACTAACATGCAAATAGTAATGCATATGATTTATTAGGGAAAATGGGTGTCCCTACTATGAATATAGCTAAAAAACATTATTCACTTTGAAAGAAGAGGGTTTAGTCACTACAGAAATATGTCACAGTAAAAGTCCTTAAGGTGTTTGACCTCAGCTGAATTAAGTATTTCAACAAGGTTAAGGCATTAAAGAAAATGAAATACTCATTATGAGGCAGAAGACACGTATTAATATTTTTCTACAGTGTGATTGGATTATTTGTAGATTCATTTGTAGATGGCCATTTTACAATTAAATTATTGTTTTCCTTTTACCGTATGTTCAATTGGTTTGGTTTAACTGCTTATTCTCCATTCAATCGCGAATTCCTCATTAAGAAATAGTTAAAATCTCCCCAGAAAAAAAACACGACTCAATTATTGACATATCCAGACTGAAGGTGACCTAATTTCAACTTGACGGTTTTGCGTTTTACGGGACATCTACCTTTAGTTCTGGTGCTTTATTAATATTGTTCGCTGAGTTTGTACTGACCTCACCGTTTCTGAGACTTAATCGGAGTCACTTTCATTTAGTTCGGTGTGAAATGCTTCAAGACATATTCCCTCAATGAATCAGTCTAACATAGGTTAGACACATGGCTTCATGTTCCATGCGTCAACGTGCACTAGGATCTCGCGATGACGCGATCGTGACGTAGACTATGCTCGCCCAATCCCTAGAATAAAACTTGCTACAGCGTGGTCGGAGTCAGAGCACAGTCTGACGTGATAACGTTGTAGCGGCAACCAGAGGTCCCTCGTGTCACAGAAAAAGTCACCGGCTTCAACTGTAGTGAAGTGAAGGTGAGCGTTTTTTATTTATTTTTTCTAAACGAACGACTTCGCTCCTAACCGAACTGCAGTAGAAATCGACTGAATTAAACCTTTATTAACCCCGTTAAGGGAAAAACAAACAAACAAACAAACAAACAACCCTCGCGAGGGCTTTGGATAGTGGCGTTGTAATTTCATTCATGTGTATCTGTGAATGAGTTTGAAATACCATTTTGAACGCCTTACGGTGAGAGTTCCGTGGACCTCGTGTCCGGGCAAGCTGAAGGCTCACACAGTCGGCGGTTATGGTAGCGCCACCTGTCTTAAGGCTCCGGTGTGTAGGAGTTGTAGCGTAGCGATGCTGTCACGCCGCCAATACAGCCGGGACGCCATTGGGGGCAAAGCCGCTTGTCACGTTTTCTATCAACTCCCGCTTAAAACGGAGTTTCGCTTTACAGGTGGACGGTTCGCTCGGCTCCTCTTAGCCCCATTCCCACGCAGAGGTAACCCTCAGCGGGTTTGAAGTTGCCCCTGACCTTTACGTATCTAAGTCCTTGACTCCGGCGTTTGACATAGAGGGGCACCTTCACGCGCCGGGAACGGTTGCCAAGGGTACTATTACCGCGTGCGGTGCAAACGCTGTCCGGAGGTCAGTTCTGAAAGCTCGGACGGCGGACAAAGCCGCGTCTTGTCATTGACCCTTCAAATGTTTTACGTGTGCCAGAAATAGACGAGTGCACCCTGCTCTATTCTGGTTGGGTTATTGTCATGTATAGCATGCTTTTTTTTCTATAAAAAGAAACGGCTGTAAATTAGCTGAATTTGATCTTGGCATTCAAAAATAAAATAAAAATCTAACTTCAGCTTCACTATTGAACTTTTTCGATGTTTACTTCTGCACTTTATGTATATATATTTTTAAACTCTTGTTGTTTTTTTGATTAATTACATTTTTATACTTTAAAAAATATTATGAGGCTTTCTAAACCGGGATGCCAAATGCAAAGTTTGTACCATGAACACACCATTTAAGCCGGTGTGACATTAAAAGTTCCTTGTATCTTTCTATGTCAGTAAAGTGTCCACAATGCAAAAGGTGCCGCTGCTCTGGAAATGCTGGTGCAGGCCTATGAAATGGGATTTACTTGTCTGTTTCTTACTTTCCCATGTGCTACTTGGAGCTTTTCCCCAGTGTGTGACTCTCACATGATTTTCCATAGCACAATGACTCCTATGCACCCCTGACTGCCCCCCCTCCAACCCCCCACACCACCACCACCATGTCATTTGTACTTTTGATTATACCTTTTGCCCTGTACTCCTCTGAACTGGTTGCCTGATATCGGTCCACAGACCATAAAAGGAAATTATTACAGATTTATTACCATATTTTGGTGTGTATCTGCTGGTTAGACAGGTTTTTTTGTTTTTATTGTTTTACGTTCTTTGGATGACTGGCCGCAGGGAAGCATGGGCGTAGTTTCTCATCAGTGCTCTGACTTTAGCAGGAAGAATATGGTTTTTACCAGTAAGAGATCCAGTTTGGGGGGCCTCTTCTTGGAAGAAGGCGTGACGTGCGATATGAAGTCTAGTTGCATAATTTTTGATCCTCCTGCAAAGGATGCTGGGATCCTATATATTAGATGGTTTTGCAGAAAGCTGAATGTGTTGCAGATATGTTTAAATTGTTCAGCTTTCATCTAATGCTGCTTATTGCAGAGGCCGTTTTTAACTCTTTGTGCTCTTGATGATCCGTTCAGAGGGGTCTACGCTGTCGTAACGATTCAATTTGATTCAATCAATGCTTAATTGATTTTTTACTTTTTTGTGTATTTTTGTTTTGTTATGCCCCTTCAAGGCTATTATAATGTTGCCTTGGATTGGACATATCTTCTAAGACGTCCTTGTAATCGAACTCTTGCACGCATCTAATACTTTTTCAATGTCTTGTGAAATCTAATCGCTCTAGAGGAAAAAATGTGACAAATAGGGAGACTGGCAGGCTGTTCCACATCTTGTATTTTAAAAACCTTGGTGAGAGGAGTCCAAACATAACATCTTGTCAAGGCTCAGGGGACCACGCTGGTCTTCCTTTCCTCGTCCCCCAAAGAAGGGTGTGACTCCACTTTGCTCTCACTATCTGTCCTGAACACACGTGTCTTGACCTTCCTGTGTGAATGTGCAGGGAGCCATTGCCTTAGTAGCAGCTCAGACTCCTTTTTAAGGATCTCAGCCTGTTTTATTTTCTTTTAAACTTAGTTTTTTGTTATTAATGAAGTTGCAGTGGTTGAATTATTACTATTGTACTTTGTCTTAATTTCTGTAAGCATTTCTGACCCCCACCCTCATTTAAAAAAAACAAAAATTCTGTTTTATAATTTCAATATCCATATATTTCAACATCTAAAAGAGTAATCCGATTAAAGTATTATCTTGGTAAAAGTTTTGGTATGTTTGGTATGTAAGATTATAGATGTGATTTCTGCCCAACTTGCAGAGCAATTAGTTTCACACTGCGGCTAATCCCCCCCACCCCCCACCTCCCTGCTTAGCACTTTCCAAAAGCCGCATCAGTCAGACTTAAAACTGTGATATCATGCAAGCCTTGAACAAGGAGACGGAGACGTCCCAGTCTGTATCTTTGCAGCTAATACATGACCCCCTCCTCACCTCCCCCCCACCCCCCCCCTCCACAGGTTTTGGAGGTCAAGACTGTCTCGCCGTATGCCAAACCGTATTCCAAACTTAGCTGCACTTTACAATGCTGAGAATAACTAGAGCAGTATTTTTTGGGTCACGGCCATGTTGGCTTCCTCCTTAGCTTTGTTGAGGTGTGATCTAAATAAAAGGTTGAGTGTTTTATCTCTGTTCTTTTTAGGAGCATGCCGTTCATCATAGCCACGCTTTTGCGCCGCTGCGTTTGTCCTCAAAAGACCCCCGCCCTCCCCTCCCTCCCCCTCACAGCGTCCAGGTTGGACTCTCTCCCCCCCTCTCGTATGTTTCACAAGTTTCCGTGGATTACTGGGCAGGTTGTGTCCAACTGGCTGTAAACGGAGGCAGATTTCAGCGTGGTGGTTTTAGTTAAACAAAGCCTTGTTTTTTCAGTATTTAGCCGGTGCAGAGTCCAGTCCTTGCCCCAGTGGTTTAACCCTTGGCCGCATACTTCACGCACAAGGTGACGGTTTTCTAGGTGGTCTGTTGACCTTCTGCGGGGTTTGATAAGACGAGAACTGGTTAGTCAGATTGTTGTTCTTTTTTTTTTCTCTTTAAATTTTGCCAAGGCGTTCAGTCTTCTCTCCAGAGCTTGGATCGGATCGGGTTAAGCAGTTTAAAATCTACTTTCAGAGAAACACCTGCCTGCCCGAGCACCTCTGGTGCTTTTGTTTGGACAGCAGAAACATTTGTTTTTCTTTCCTCTGTGACCAAATTTCAGAAAGCGGCACAGAGGAACGTTGTGTTGCTTCATTTCACATCCTTTTGCACAAACCAGTGTAAAGAAAAAAAAAAAAATGGTTGAGTAATTTCCCAGGACTATATTGTCTCAGTGCGCAGCGGGAATGTCGCCACCTTTGGTTTCTGCGCTGGTGAAGATGAGCTCAGATTTGTTTTGGTTTGTTTCTTTTAAAGCTGACTCTCTACGTGATATATAAATCGGTACAACTGTTTTTTTTTTTTTGTTTTCTTTGGGTCCTGAAAGTTCCCAAAACAATAAAGCTGTTTGGAGGATAAGTCGATCCTGTTTAGACGACCCGACTGCTGTAGCCAATGAGCCGCTGAAGGTCACGAAGGCAGAGAATGGTGTCAAATGGCAGAGAATCATTAAAAATAGACCTGAGTGGACAGAAACTCTATATTCTCCCACTTATAACATTTATTTAGATTTTTTTCAAATTTATACCCGGGCTTATTTTGCAGATGAGAAATCATTCTGAACGCATGGTAACGTTTTAGATTTCTGCTGCAAGGATGACATCTTGTGCTCCGATGTGCTGGATTTGTGCAAAGTTACACAGGCTTGGAGCCGTCTTTGCTGACTCAGCAACGGGAGCAGACCTCCCTCCCAAGGACGGTCGCACGCAGGGCTCTAATTCCACTTTCTGTGGATTTCCAGCATGGGCGAATATATACACAAGACTCAAATTTCCTCCCCTGTTCCGTCATAAAACGGACACCTGGCTTTGCTTGGCGCGGGGTTTTGCGTTGAGGTTTCGTGGGAAGTCGTTTTTTCAGCCGGCGCTTGAGTTCACACGAAGGCAGGGAGTCCGAGCCCAGCCGGGGCTGCACAGTGGTCTTTTGTACCGTGAGGCGGAGCGGCTTAGGAAACCCCATGGATGTTTTGGCAGGAGGTGGGGCAGGTTCTTCAGACGCCGCGTCATTCCAGCAATTCAGCAACGCCGAGACACGCGAGGACAGAAGGCCCAAGAGCCGAGTCCATAAGGCACTTGAAGAATGAAATGTTCAGTTTTGTAGACTCATCATGTCTGGTTTTAAAAGCTGATGTCGGCATTTGTAAGAATTGTATATGTTAAATGTTTTTTTTTTGTGTTTAAGTTTCAGGCTTTCATGCTTTGTCCTTTTCCTGTTTTCCAGAGTCCAGTGAATCAACCATGGACCAGGCAAGGTCAACAATATCTAAGATTGTAAGTAGCGAAACGTTTTGCTTAAACCTTATAATAAAGTTTTTGGCTATAAGGTTTTCTCCCTGCTTCCATAGAAAGTTATTGTTACAAGTCTTATAAGGCAACATTATTTCTTCCTCTTATTTCTCTTGGAGAACACGATTGAAAAGGATCAAGGACAATTTACAAAAAAAAATTTTTTTAACATAGTATCAGGCTTGCTTTTTTTTTTTTCCTCAAGCAAATGAGGAAAGTTCATTCAAGGAAGAGAGCAAGCATCTCGTGGTATCAAACTCTAAAATGTCCCCTGCAAAAGGCCCTTCGATTCCATTGAAAAGGGACCTATAGCTCAAGCTTTTTCTCCATTTTGGGCAACCATTGGTGCTCGGCTCCACCAGCGGTGAAGAATGTCCTCCGCCCCCCTATTTTTGATCTTTTTTTAATTTTTATTTTTCATTCACATGCCATAAAAAGATGAGCAGAAACAGGATGCAGTTGTCGTTTTGGTTTGGCACTGATATCTGAGCCATTAGCTCAGAAAGCAACAACTGTAGGTTGTTATTAGTCATTTTGAGTCTGATACACTTTCAGTATTTGTAGGAATTATTCATCTGGGGATGTTTTCCATTTGAAGCAAGTTTTTAATTTATTCATTTTTCCTACGGCCATTGATGTGCTTTGATCCCACCAGAAAAGGTTAAATGTATAAGATTAAGTCGGCAGTTTGCCCTTAAAAAATTGCCGTATGAGAAATTGGATTTTTTTCTAGTACTACTCTTTATGTTTTACCAGCGACAACCCTTTCAAAACTCTTTTTTTCTTCTTTTATTTTTTTTAAAGTTTAACGGAGAGCCACACTCCTACACCCGGTTCAACCTGACCCAGAACATGGAGGGCGACAACAGCCAGGTGGAGATGAAGCTGTCCTCCGACATGGACGAGGAGGTGGGCGGAAACGGCGTGGGCGACCACCTCAACCACAACTCCCACCGCAAGCCCTACGCCGCCGAGAAGCTGGGCCGCACGCCCAAGAACCTGGGCTTCATCGCAGCCGCCTTCCTCCTGGTCTTCATCATCGGTAAGAGGCTCTACCGGTCAGGGATGGTTGGCGTTCCCAAAGCTGGCTGTCGGCTACGTCCTAAAAAGTTTGTGTTCTTTAATGTTGCGGGTCCCTCCGCGGCTGCTCCTAACCTGAACCCGCTCCTCCTTCTAGGGTACTTGGTCAGCTACATGGTTCACGGGAAGAAGGAACTGGCGCCCGTCTGTGCGACCTCCACGCTCAAGTCCGAGGGGGACGTTGTGGCTCACGAGACCGGCGCCGCCCCCCTCATGAACTGGGACGACGTCAAAAAGCTCCTCGCCGCGAGGTTAAGCGCCGAAAAGCTACGGGGCGCTCTCAGGTGACCGGACAAGCCCGCCCGCCCGCTCGCTCGCCTTCCCAATGCCTCGCGCAGGAAGTACGTCATAGTCTTTTCCTTTTCTCTTGCGCCGTCACAGCGACTTCTCCAGGGCGGACCACCGGGCTGGTTCCCCCGGCGACGAGGCTCTGGGGAACAAGGTGCTCCAGAGGTTCAAGCAGTTTGGCCTGAAGACGTGGACCGACGAGCACTTTGTCAAGGTCCACGACCCCCCGGCGTCCGGCTCCAACCGGATCCTGTACAGGAACCGCTCGGAGGAGAGTCCGAAGGGATTCCTGTCCTACAGCCCCACCGGATCAGTGACGGTGAGCAGCGGGGGGGGGGGGGGGGGGGGGCTGAGACGGAAGGCCACGCGGGGACGAATGGGATCAGTTCGCTTACGAAACGGGTTTTTGTGTGCAGGGTGCAGTGCTGTACGCAAATTACGGACAAGAGAGGGATTTTGGGATGCTGAGGGATAAGAACATCGACATGAATGGGAGAGTGGTGCTGGTCAAATCTGGAAAGATCAGCCTCGCTGAGAAGGTGGGTATTTTTTAGTCATTTCTGTATGAAGAGCTCCCTTTTTCCCCTGACCCCGCTCGCACGCTGTTATATTATGTCGTTTTTCCATCCTTTTTGCTCACAGGTAGCCAACGCTGCCAGAGTGAACGCCTCTGCCGTGCTGATCTACCCAGACCAGGCTATCGGGGACGAAACTGAGCTTTATGGACATGTGAGTGGGGACAAAATGAAAGGCGATGAAAAGGCGGCCGTGGATTAGCTCAGGCTCTCACTGAAAATTGGATCCCTTAATCCGTGCTCACAGGGGGGAATTCAACTTCCATCAGTAAAACAAACAGATGGAAGCTGTTTTGTCCCGATTGACTTGCAGTTAAAAACTAAATTATCTGTCTGGGGGCGGGTTCTTAAAGGAGGGTTGTTATGCTGTTTCAGGGCATGACATAGAAGTTCCAATGGGTTAGTTTTAAAGTGTTTTCTTTTTTTTTTTTTTTGAGTTGGGAAAGTTTCAGGTTGTCGTGAAACGGTTTAACCGATGCTCGCCTCATACTGAAAGCTTCCTCTGTGGGCGCTCCGCAGGTGCACATGGGTTCAGGCGACCCCTACACTCCCGGCTTCCCCTCCTTCAACCACACCCAGTTTCCCCCTGTGGCGTCCTCGGGCCTGCCCAAAATCCTGGCCCAGACGATCACGCTAGGGATGGCAAAAAAGATTCTGAGGTGAGACTCTGACACAGAGTAGAGAGTTTGGTTTTCTGAGCGGTTAAAAAATAGATTTTTTTAACTTTTTTTGTGATTTGCTTTTTAACATTGCAATAAAAAACACACAAACTTGAACAAGGATAAAATAAAAAACATGATTCCACAGAAAGACAATAAATGAAACAGACCACTACTACATGATAATTGCATGCATCAACATGCACATGATCCACATTGCCAGAAACTCCCCTGACACAGTCTCCCCCCTCCCACCGATCATAATTTTGTCACACTTGGGTCATAGTTTACATGAAAATGCATCAGCATAACTTCTCCACTCGACCCTCTCATGAAATTCATGTCTGGACTAGGGCTGCAACTAACAACTATTTTAATAGTCGACTAGTCACCGACTATTGAAACGATTAGTCGACTAATCGAATAGTTATTAACTTTTTCTTAAAAATGGCATAAAGTTGCTTTAGTTAAGTGGAAAATGATAAACACAAGAAAAATGGGTACTAAATGCATCTTTTATTCAACTTTGCAGCTGTTACAAAACGTAAATAAGAATGCGTTTGTCAGGCACAGTCAGGCATAACGTTAAAGCTCTCTTTTAAAGTGAAAAAACGCTTAGAAAATGTATAATGTACATAAAAGACAAAACATATTAGCATTATTGTTGCTTAAATCTTACCGAGGCGAGTCAGACTCCGTTTAATTTAAGTGCCCAACATGCTTTCTTTTTAAATGCTCATGCATCACCGAGGTGCTGCCGTGATACGCAAGGTCTGTTTTGCAAACCTTGCACGTAATTTTTTTACTCGTTGTATCAAGGATAAAATGCTCCCAAACTTTGGAAGTTTTTGTACGCGTGTTGGACGCCGCCATTTCTGTAACCGCGACGCTGTTGTGCAGGTGACTCTGGGCAGATTGTAATTAAGTGAGATGTCTCACTCTGTTGGAAAAACACGTCATGGAATTCATTATCGACTTTTTCTATTATCGATTTTTGTCGACAACGTCGACGAATCGTTGCAGCCCTAGTCTGGACCCCATATTTGGATAAATACTACCCATCTTATTCTTTAGCCTGAAAATCAATTGTTTACAGTTGGCTATTTTAGCCATTTCTCCCACTCATATTTCTTTATTCCCATAGGTTTAGTGTCATTTCACATTAACAGAGCATGTGACAACGTGTCCCCCTACTCTTCTCACATCAGACACGCAGAGATTTGAGAACTGTAATTTATTTATTCATTTATTTTTTGGTCCCCAGAGAGCTGGATGGTCCGAATCTGCCTGGGGGATGGGACGGCTACTTCAAGCTGGGGGCCGAGAGCGACACGGTCACCGTGGAGGTCAACAACGTCCTCACCGAGAAGAAGATCCACAACGTGTTCGGGGTCATCAAAGGCTTCGTAGACGCAGGTACGGCCGAGTGCCCGTCAAACGCGGGTGGGGGGGGGGGAATGAGCACCTGGGTGTGCCCTAAACGCAGAGGACTCCTGTCTCTTTTCCAGACCGCTACGTGGTCATCGGGGCACGGCGAGACGCGTGGGGACAAGGCTTTGCCTCGTCCACCGTCGGTACCAGTGTCCTCGCTGAGCTGGCCCGCGCCATCTCAGACATGGTGGAGAATGGTGAGTGGGCTGGTTTTTTGGTATTTATAGCTGGAACTTGGTTCCGATTGACTCAACGGAATTGTGTGGAGGAAGCCCCTCAGGCGGAGTTTTCCCACCACAACGTTCCAATGGAGGCAAATTTTCACACTTAAAATTTCAGTGCCAGATTAGGAGCCTTGCCGACTGGATGGGATGACTCAGAAATGTTTAAATTGTCAGTCCTGCTGAGAGCAGTGGGCAGCATTACAGCACCCCTCAAAGCCTGAACAGTAAAAGAAAAAAAAATTGAAACAGCGGCAGAGTCGGTATTAACTTAGACTTCTAAATGAAACCTTGCGATTTGATTTTCGCTTTTCATTCACAGGTGGGTTCAAACCAAGGAGGAGCATAGTGTTCGCCAGCTGGAGCGCTGGGGAATACGGGAGCGTTGGCGCCACCGAGTGGTTGGAGGCAAGAACTGCACAGCAAATTCAAATTTGTGGTTTTCCTCTCCGGCTGTTCAGTTTGCTCATTTGTCTGCCTCCACATGCAGGGATATCTGTCTTCTCTGGGCATGAAGGCCTTCTCCTATATCGACCTGGATGGCATCGTAACAGGTATTTACAGTCATGTTTGAAAACTTCCTGTAGAACAATTTTAGGATTAAATACAGGGTGTAATTGTGTTTTTTTTTTTTCTTTTAGGTCGAAACTCTTTTAAAGTAGCAGCAAGTCCTCTGATGCACGGCTTGATTGAAAAGGCTCTGAAAGAGGTACAGGAAATTTTTTTTTTTTTTTATTTTTTATTATTAAAAAAATTTATTTTTCAACTCAATTTAAGATGCCCCAAAAAAAAGTTTTTTCGTTTTTTTTTTTTTTTTTTTCTTCCCCTCGGCAGGTTAAAATCAAGGACGGTACTCTCTTTGAGCAATTTGCAAAGAGCAACTGGGAGAAAGAAGTGTAAGTCTGCCCTGTTCGGACAGCCCACGGCAGTTCAGTTCAAATGTTCCCCCCCATCAGATCTTCTCCTCATCGTCACGCGTTCCTGTCTTTCAGGTTGGAGCCCATGAAAATGGACAGCGCAGCCTATCCTTTCATCGCCGTCTCCGGGATTCCCTCCGTGTCGTTTAGATTCGCCGCCGGTGACTTGGTAAGTGTTCCATCAGTCTCTCAGGTAGAAGCGTGGTATCAAAGCTGTGAACTAATAAAGCCCCCCCCCCCCCCCTCCCTCAGGACTACCAGTACTTTGGCACCATGCTGGACACCCAGGAGAAGCTGTACAGCGCCACCTCGGCCCAGGTTCCCCAGCTGGCCGAGACGGCCGCCCGCTTCGCCGGCCACCTGGCGCTGCGGCTGGTGCACGACCACCTGCTGCAGATGGACCTGGTCAAGTACGACTCGGTCATACGCGGCCACGTGCGCAGGATCAACACTAAAGTCAAGTCCATCCTGTCGGTGAGCGCCACCGCCGCCGGGTTTCGCGTCACTCCGCTTTAACGAGGAAGGCTACTAAAACTCTCCTTTTTTGGTGTTTTGTTTTGTGCTGCGCGTCCAGATGCAGCCCCAGCTGTTCCCCGAAGCGCTGACCGTGCAGTGGCTGATCATGGCCTCGGGCTCTTACGGCCGGGCCTCTCGCAGCCTGGCGGAAGACATCCAGAACAGCGACCTGGAGGACGTGGAGATGTGCCGCATCCTCAACGACCGCATCATGACGGTGAGACCCCGGGGAACCCGGATGGCTTTGGACCTCCCGGCCGGTCCCACGCTACATTTTTGCCTCTCTTTACCATGCTTCTTTTTTCTTTCGACTTTGACCTCTTGGCCTCATAGTGGACGCTATCAGACACTACTGTTTGAAATCTAAATCAAAATGTTTTCATACATTTTCAACCAATCATGTTCTTATTGTGTGATTAACATTTTGTAAATGAATAATATGTCCCATCAGGACCAAATTGCAAAAACATTTAATTAAATATATTAACAAACGTTTTAAATATAAAGATAAACCCACTGAGCCTATACAAAGAAAAACTACCTGTACCATGACAAAGTCCATTTATTAAACTCATCAGGTCCCACTATTCCCAGATATCTTAAAAAGCAAAAAAAAAAAAGCAAAAATGCACACCAAATAAGTCAGGACGAGATTGTGTGTGTGTGTATACAACAGGATGCCAGCTTTTGGATGCAGTAGTTTTTTTTTCTTCATTTTATTGATTATTCAAAGTGCTTGTCAGCAGCCTCTCCAGTTTAAGAATATGCTGTCGGTTTCCCCCTCAGGTGGAGAGGAACTTCCTGTCGCCCTACGTCTCCCCCAGAGACAGCCCGTTCCGCCACATCCTGCTGGGCTCCGGCTCCCACACCCTGGAGGCCCTGTCCGGCCACCTGGACGCCCTGAAGATCAAACACCCCGAGGCCGACGCCGACCTGTTCCGCAACCAGTTCGCCCTGGCCACCTGGACCATTCAGGGCTGCGCCAACTCTCTGGCCGGGGACATCTGGTCCCTGGACAACGAAATCTAAAAGGCGCGCGCCTGAAAGCCGCCCCCGTCCTCATGTGCGATCACGTCGTGGAAGGCAGAACTTTGTCCTTAACCACCAGATTTTAGAAAACGAGAAAAGATCGACCGCGTATAAACCCCCCGTCCCCCGTGCGAGCAAATCCAAAGCCAAAACGCGAAGGAAAAAAAGCCTTAATCGATCGCTACACTTGAATACTTTGGTGCTAACAATGACGTCCTTAAACAATTGAATGGATCTCGCCCTCTGAACGAGCGGGCTATAGCCATGTTTTTAAAATTGGTTTTTAATTTTCAGGTAAAAAATCTTAGTCCCAGCCTCTGTCTGCCCCGCTCGGATGCAAATAAAACTTAAAAAAAAAAAAATACAAAGGAAAAAACGACTAATCAACCAAAAGAGAAAAGATTTAACAGGGCAGCGTATTAAGCTAAAGCAAACCATATAAACACCCTTTGTTGTATCACTGCTGCTGGAGCTTAAGGTTCAAACCCCCCCAGCCGGGTTTTAACAACACGGCTCATCAGATCCACAAGGCACCCAGCGGGGCAGGACCTTATCCGACTCCTCCACCTCAAGGCTTTGACGCTAATCCGTCATCTGCCCTCCAAAAAAGACAAAAACGAGCAAACAAAAAAAACCTCGAGGGGAAAAAAATCTCACACACGTGGCACTGAAACAAAAACCGTATGTCTATTTATTGTGTTATTTATTTATCAGTGGCAGGGTTCACTATAAATAGTTTTTTAAAAAAGAAGAGTCGCCTTTTATAAAAGAACATATATAATTATCGGGAGCAGTGCCTCCCATAATTATGACAGTTATACTGTCGAAATGACAAAAGCAGCATCTGCTAACAGAAGTGTGCACGCAGACCGACGGCCGTGAGCCGAAGCAGCGATCGGGCACCATGTTTTTTGTTTGTTTTTTTTCCCTCTAAACCTTTCACCAGAGGGAAACCTGACAAACGCCTCTGGATGCCTCTCCAGCCCTTTGGTCCGTGTACACTTCTCCTCGTCCTGACAGCATTATCGGAAGCAGAGTTTTCCATAATGCGGAGAAGAAGAAGAAGAAGAAGGTAGTTTTTGCCTACCAGTGTGTATCTGTATCGGAGGCAGTGCCCTCCATATTTCACTGTAGGGTTGAATGTTTTTTTTATTATCGGGGACAGTGTTTCCCATAATGTGTACATACACTTCCTAGCTCCGCAACGCGCCTCTGCGTCCTCTTTGACGTATCCCTGCTGCTTTCCTCGGAGGGGACAGGCCCCTAAGGCCAGCTCTTGGCATCTCACTGGCTCCTGTTTTTCTTTGTTGCAGCTGGAATGAATCATTTATTGTGCTTTTAAGAAAAACACAAAGCATGTTACAGTCATTTCTGGGGCCACTGTGATTACAATAAGCAGGATCAGTATTTTCATTGATTTTTTTTTTTTTTTTTTTTCTTCATTTTCATTTTTTTTTAGTTAATGTGCAAAAAATCTTGTCTGTTCTCATGCAATTGTTCCTCAGATTTCCTCGTGCCTTTACGTTCTAAGACTGCATTTTCAGAGCCAAGTTTCTGCACGAAGATCTGAATAGATCCTGGTTTGATGTTTGATTCTCTTTCTTTCAATTCTCTGCTAGAGTCTGTAGTTACAGTTACAACATTACCTTTAGATGTGATAAGAGAATGAAAATCAGTGTCATTTAAATTACAGTCCCACACCATCATTCGTATACAAAACGTGACGCAACCTAACTTAAAGTTAAACTGTTAAGTTAAACAGTTAATTCCTGATCCCTACATATGAACAAAATGTTGCGCACTGTCCAAAGAATAAAAACGCACAAGAAAATGTATTCCTTTTTTTTATTGAAAATTTACTTGATAAAGGATGTTTAGAAAGTCAATATGCTTTATTTCCTCCTCCCATCTGTATGCAAGTTGGCTTCGCTTTACAGTTTTGTTGCTGGAATAAAAAGACAAATCTTGATGATCGTCTCTGCTTAATTCCCCTTGATTTGATCAGATTTCGAGGAGAGGGGAAACTTAAAGTGTAGTGAGCAGCAATGGCCTCATGGTGGGGACAAAGTTTGTGTTCCTGTCCACAAAGATGACAAAGTCTGGGTTTACTCAAAGATTGACAGCGATATTATGACGTTTTTTAAAACGACTATTCTTAAACATAAGAATTCTGCTTATTGTTAAGTCAAATATTGAAGTTTAATGGACTTTTTAAAAGTGTGGCAATGGGGAAAAAATACATACCATTCTAACCACCGTCCTATTGTTCCTTGGAAGGCTGGTTAAAAATATCAGGCTTGAATATGGCTAAACCCAAACGAGCCAACTCCCTCTACGGAGGCTGCCGTGTTTTCAGCCAGAAATCATCAGTAAGTTTGCAGCATGTTCCTTTAAGAGTGGGCTGACAGCCTGAATGTGCACCGGAGATCCCAGAAAAAGGAAGAGGTCTCACTTCAATAGCGATTCTACAGCTTAAGGAAATGTTGACATAAAGCGTTGACCGGAAACGAGTTTAAAATCACTGCCACGGCTCCGTGAAAAGAAGTTTAAACACACAAGCAACATGCGCGTTAAACCGGGGGGTTAACGCGCCATAAAAGCAGAAAACAACACATTTTTCTAACTTTACTTCTCGTATCAAAGTCAGTACTTGATATGTAGAAGGAATAACTGATCATAGACAGAGTGGTCTAGTTTCTTCTTACTCCTATCCATATGTCGAAACCAAAAAACTATTGTAGTAATAATTTAGTAAGTAATTAAAAACACCTTTATTGTTTAGTTATTCTTTGGACAACAAAGTAAGCCAAATCTCAACGTTTTGATCATATAGGATACGCGCACCACATTTCGCGTGGAGTTACTCGAAGGAGTTGCTCGTCATCGTTCCTGTCAACATAGACGATCTCTGTACGGACACGGCAAAAAGAACAGACCCGAGCAGCAGCTCGAGCACAAACTCTGACTGAGTCCCCGGACAGAGCGGTGGCGCGAGTCAAACTTTTCTAAAAACGGTTCATGTTTCACTCAGCGGCTCGTGGACGGTGGAACTTAAAACGTCAAAGATGTCAGGGCCGGTTAACTCGTAACCGGTTTGTTGGAGCGGAGAAGAACACGCGCGCACGCACGTACACGCACACACCGGAACCGAAGCTGACATCAAGTGGCAGAGGTCTTTAGAGTGACAGGTAGGATGCGCATCCCATTCAGCAAACTTAGTTCAGCGCGTTCTCCTTTTGGAAATTTAACTTCTAGGTCGAAAAGTGAACAATAAGAAATAATAAATCAACGAAAAGCTAAATTTCGGAGGCCTTTTGTGCATTTGTGGAGGAAAAAAAGATAGCGGGTGTAGGAGACTGTGTGGCGGGAAGGTAGCAGCAGGTGAGGGCCAGTGTGGCCTTCGGGGCTGTGGGACATCTCAGCACTTTGTCACCTTATGGCTCCATGAAATGCTGAAGTATCGCAGTGTGTCAGAGCAGTAGCAAATGTGAGGAACTGAACTTCTTTTAACTGAGCCCCCTCTGACGGTATATATTTCTTTCGTGACAGTGGAAAGAAAACAAGAAGAAGGGAAAAAAACCCAAACGAAGTTGCACATTTCATGGAACCTAATGTCCGGTATTTTTTTTGCCTTTTTCGCTAACAGGTAGAAACGAAAAGTAGAATTTGAAGAGTACAATACTACAACAGGAGGGGGTAAATGTAATCCAGTTTGTGTCTTCAAGAGACAAGTGATAGGGGCCATTTATCTAAACCCATGCACCACCAGCAGTAAAATAAACCCAGGCCAGCCAGACCACGTGGAGGCCTTTTAGGAATTTAATTCAGGAAATAAGATTTCTTTGATAAGATTAGCTAAGATCATCTCTTCTGGGCTTGAAGCTGCCTCCTGTCTCCCTCTGCACTCCTCCCTGCTCCCCATCCATCATCCACTCTGCTCCACTTCTGTCCCATTGCACATGCCAGCTCCACTGGATCGCAGCCCGGTGTTTATAGTTTTATTCTAGGTATTATGTAAGCCATTTGGCCCATCTCTTTATTGGTACAATTGATTTAAATGAGTGTCTTTTTCTTTTTTTTTTCCTTAAAAAAAAGTAGGACCACAGGGACAGAGTTTAGGCCTGTCTGGATCCCGCAGGTGTCAGTGAACGCTGCGCTGGTCCTTTGAAATTTCTTAATGATGTCCTGGGAGTCCTATTATAAGCAGAGAAAGCATGTTACATTTATGTTGAGCGACAGGCCTTGGTTAGAATGTGAAATGTTACCGTTAATGATTGTACGATTACAAAAAGCATCAACAACCTAAAACAACAAAAATGAGTAGATAGTCTGGAATAATGTCCCTTGGACAGATGAAACCAAAAGTGAGGATATTTGTGAGATTACACAGTTGCTTCTTCTGAGAAAACCAACCAGCATATCGACACAAATGCCTCACGCCAACTGTGGAACACGGTGTTGGAGGCTGATGGTTTGGGCTTGTTCTACAGCCGCATGACCTCAGTCATGGTCCGTTTTCACAGTCAGACTTGTAGCCCTGAGATATTCCCGAGGTAATCTGGAATAAGAGAACTCTGTAGCATTTACTCTGGATTTGTTGAACATCACAGGAGTGAGAGGCTGTACCAAAGCCTCAGTAATTCTTCCGGAGGCTTTTCTGCCAGTGCGCTAGTAGGAACGGGTCCTGTCCTGTCTGGGCTCTCTTGTCCGTGTTGTGGAAAGTAAGCGAGGCCTCAGCACCACGGGGCTGATCGGCCTCATCCACCCTTCCCTCCATCCGTCGCACCCTGAAAGACGGCTGGGTTGCAAACTTCCTGTTGCCAAATTGTTCCCTTTTTTGAAGTTGAAGTGTAACAAAGACCTAATGCGGGCAGCCATGGTAATGATCATATCAGTTATGTGGGTCCTGTCGATCTGTGTTTTTTTTTTTCTCCATGTCAGATGTGTATTTGTAGGATTAGGCTGTATGTGTTTCGCTTTCGAGTGGATTTGGCTGAAGGCAACCAGTTTTTTTATTACCATTATTGTTTTTATTGATATTATGATGATGATGTGCATAAAAACTCTTTCCCTTTGCTTCCACATAGCAGCACAGTCTGTCTTAGACAGCTGGTGATCCGGGCAGAATCAAATAACTGATAGACTTCAAGTTTGGAACCATTTGACGTGTCAACTGTCTTTTTCCAGTACAGAGCCCGACCTTGTCGAGGGGGGAAAAAAGTTCAGCTCTTATCTTATTACACACAGGATGTCGCTTTAATTGCTAAACTGCTGGGATGAGGCAGACGGTCATATGATACAAATGGAATTAAAGCGCCTTCCAGATGCAGAGTCGGTCATGTTCTCCTGGCTGAGGCCGGACCCTGTG